CAAATGTTTGTTCATAATTTTGTTTGTTCAGTATTTAATTCATCACCAAATAATATTGATTCTGCCACGAAGTAGTAATGATTCATCACCAAATTTTATTATTTCGTCACCCAATGAATTTACATCACCAAATTCCTATTACCATCGTCAAATGATTTCATCACCAGACCTAATGAATCTTACACCAAATTCTCCCACAGTATTTTCACCAGAAGCAATGAAATGATCACCAAATTTTATTGAGATTTTATTTTATTGAAATGATCACCAAATCATTGTCACATTTCATGTGTCAAAAGAAATCAATTTTTATTTTAGCGGGCCTGCAGGGCAGAACATGCTAACTCTCCCTGTTGTGATTTAGCATTCCTAGTGAATGTTTGCAAATGCCAGTCTTGATCCGAACAGGGCAAGCGCATTCAAAATTTGGAGCTCTCACAACTCAGAGGGAGAGTCTTGTTCTCTTCAAGTACTCCTAATGCACCAGTTTTCTGATTAGATACTCTTGTGCACTTTTTCGAACCTCTTCCCTTGTGGGGTTGCCGCCACTGCAGGCAATGAAGGCTTCTCTCTTCGTTTCAATGTCCTCAAACTCTCTAGTTGCCATGGCACCTCTACACCTCTAATACATAGAGCACACAAAAACTGGAAGTCAGCGCTGTACACAACTCCCATACATGTACACAAGCGCAAGTAGACTAGTTACACAGGTCCTCCCCCAAAGGTCCCGCAAAGCATGATATGATCTTACAATTTCATCTTGCCATCACAGGTCTAACCGAAATAGAGGAAAATCCTTTCCTTGATAGGGTTGCAAATGCTGAAAATGTTATAAGTTTGATGATGAGAGCATTTTTTTAATGCAGAATGATGCGAATTTGGTGACACCAGCACCTGTGATGGTGCAATAATATTTAGTGAAATCAAAAATAAGAATTTGGTGACTGACTCCAATTTGGTAATGATTCATTGTGATCTGGTGATGGAGTCAATATTTTTGTGGGCTGAAAATATTTGGTGACAAGTTCATTATTATTTGGTGGATGATTAAATATCTTTTTTTTATATGCTGCCGCTTTAATGCCAACAGTCTCTTCAAGGGCAAGGTAGGTTATTTTTGGGTAATTTTCAATTAGACGATTGGGTTTCTCCACATTTGCATCAATGACAGTTCAGTCTGACAACACAGGAACCGCGAAAACCAGTCATACACAAACTTATTAGATGTTGCTCGCTCCATGACTCCTTTGCCATGAAAGGCTTTAACAAGCCTTTCATGGCACTCAGAACATTTCTTGGAGTTTGAAACTCCAGGAACGATTGCATGAAAGTCACAGCAACACAACTAGTCTCTCAGGGGGTAAGCTGGAGACGTGTCCGATGCAAAGGGCTTGGGATCTCTCGATCCGAAATAGCTGGCTTGACCTGGACGTCATAGGTAACAGCCATTCTGCATCCTCTCATGGCGCATAACATCGGTCACCAACCACAAAACCTCATTTCGGGAGCTTGTGTCCACGACCTGATTCTTTCAGTCATTATCCACAGTTTGTGACCATGGATGAGGGTGGGGAGGTAAACGCTCATAAAAACCGAAAGTTTCGCCTCCTTGGAAGTTTCAGATTTGGCAACCGCAATTCGCCAAAGTTCAGGGACGCTATTTTGGGTCCTGCATCTTGAAACGATTTTTTTAATAACCTCCTTTATTCCCTATGATGTAATAGCTTGAAAGTCAGCCTTTAGAGCTCTCATGCGGCATGGTTTTTCTGGCTCCTTTTTTTTTCTTTTACCACCCATTATGCTTTGACTGGAGGTGGTCTAGTTGGTCTTCAAAATCATTAGCCCATGCTGAGAAAATTTCACGAGCGATTTAATTTGCTAATCCATTGTGCCTCGTAAAATTCGCGAAATTCAAACAGGAGCTGAAATTTCTCGCCAAACTATTAATATATACTTTTCGAGTTCCTAGCTTCTTTGCCCTCTCCTCCCCCTCTTACAATTGAATCCCCTCCCAAGGTTCTCGCGAAACTGCGAAAGCCCTGGTGATGTGGCTGTTGTCTTGTTTCCACTTTGCCTATCATCTGATACATGGAGCGGGAGCGGGAGGGGGGGGGGGGGGGGGGGGGGCTCCACTGCCGCGGACTCTCGTGCAATGTAAGGCAGACTACAGGATTTCTCGAGAGGACTATAATCTGCGTTTTGGAGCCGCTCAATTTCATTCCGGCCGCAGTACATTCCGAGTCGAACCGGTCTAGAAGGCTTTGAAGCTCCTGTCGAAACAGAGCCAGGACGGTATCATCGGCAAAAAAGTATCATTACATAACTAACACCGATACTGACCCCCTCGAGTTCCAGGCTGAACTACAGATCTTATTCATAGACGCGAAGATCAGAAAAGGAGAAAACGCAACCCTAACGGACTCCGACACGTACCGTAAACGAGTTCAAACCTCATTCTGTTCACTGGAATGCAGCTCCTGAAATCACTTTATAAGAACTGAATGACCCCGTAATAGCTGATTGTTGATCCTGTACTCCTGCAGCACTCTCAACAACTTCCCCTGGAGCACATGGTCTTATGCCTTTTCGAGATTCACAAAGAATCTCTTTGCCATATTCCCTATGTCTTGAGAATCTAGCGTAGAGGAAAGTACTTGTCTCTGGTGCTGCTCCCTTCGCGAAATCAGCACTGTTCCTTTTAGATGGTTTCTTCAAAGATAGTTCGGATTCTCATTTCTAGCACTTTGACAGAGCCCTTACTAGTTATGAGGAGAGTGATTCCTCGGTAACTGGTACACTCCTTCGAATCCCCCTTCTTCCAAATAGAAACCACCACACCGCGCTGCCAATCCATAGGTGTCGTCCTCGATTCCCATGCGGTTTTACATACGCAATCCAACCACGAGCTCCCATCGATGCCTATTGCCTTCATAGTCTCTGCCTGGATCTCACGCCAAGAGACTTTTCATCCTTCAAGCTAGCCATAGCTTGCTGAACTTCCTCCACGGTGAGACTGTTCTCGCAGATAGGCTCTGAATAAGATACATTGGAATCCGCTGCGAGTGGGTAAATTCTTCGGTGTTCCCTCCACTTTTGAAGTATTTCCGCTTCTGTCTTCCACGAACCGGAGAATTTGCCTGCCTTGCTGGAGCCTTCGAATAGTTTGTCAGAACGTCTGTTAGCAGTGCGGTAGCCATGATCCGTTTCTTCGCCGTATTTCTTTCATGCCTCTCGATACGTTTCGGTTAGGTTCGAGTAGCAACTTTTCGCAGCTTTCTGTAAAACGCCCTCGAAGGGTCCGGCCTACTAACAGTTAGACATATACAACCTATGGCTGCCTTATCGCAGCAACAGCCAGCCGTACCTCCAGGTGTCCACCAGGGAGTTTGCTTCACGTTACTGTATGCCATTTCGATTCGCTTTTCGCCGCTTACTCTCACCACTACAGCCGCAGCGCCAGATTGGAACAGGTCCCATTCGGTCTTTATGTCAGAAATCTGGCTATGCGGTCGAGAGTAATTTTTCCCTATCGCCCTTGCCGACTTGTCCCGAGTTTTCTCATCTCGGAGGGCTTCCCACCTCACCCGTTTAGCTACGCGTGTGGCTTTCCGCCCCGTTCCGAGGTTTGCCCGGATCTGGAGTTTCCCAACCTCCAGGGCCGCCCAGAGGTTCCAGGGGCCCAGGGCAAAACTTAACTGGAGACCCCTTGATATGTGGGGCCCGGGGCAGATTGCCCCAATTGCCCCCCCCCCCCCCCCTCTGGGTGGCCCTGTCAACCACTAGTTAGTGATCATACCAGCCAGCCGGGGACTAATGAGTATATCCCGCTTCCGTCTGGGCAATCATGGATTTTTTTTTCTTCTAAGCAGTCCTGGCCGTTGTTGAGGCCGCCAGCATTCCATGACGTTTGGTTCAGTGCTCTCGCAGTTCGCTATGTTCCGTTGACAGTTGCTTGCCTGAGAGGGACGTCATTTCATGCGTGATCGTGTCAAGCGCTGACAGAAAGGTGTGTTTTTTTTTTGTCAATGGCTGCGAGCGGCTGGGGAAAAAAAGACGCCCTCATAGAGGGTCAAACTGTGATCGAGAGCGATGGAACTGGTGCCTTTCCTCTTGGTCGATGCTAGGCCGACTAGGGGAGCGGCACCAGTTCGCGAACAGGGAGCCAGTTAGCGAACGAGGGTCATGAAACGCGATTTGGCCTTTTATTACTCTAGTTTCACACTCCATCCCAAGCATTAATTAATCAATCAATCCATTTTCTGCAGATACCGAAAGCTGGAGCGTGTAACTCGAGAAACAAATGGCCAAGTCGCACGTCATGACTCTCGTTCGCCAACTGGCTCCCTGTTCGCGAACTGGTGCTTCTCCCCTATATCGAGTAGACGTTTGCCAGCCTAAAGGTTCCGATACGAAGGCTGAAGAGCAGCGACAGTGGTGGAAGGTACAGGGTTTTACGTTTCGGAGCAACAGATCCAATAACTTGGGGACCAAGACGAAGGCCAGACCGGGGCCCCGTAGGCTGAGATTCTGCTGACTTGTGTCTCGAACTGACCCAGCTTGAAGAGACCTTGTTAGCCTTGTGGCCTAGATATCCACCAAGTTAACAGAAAATGTAGAAGCATTATAATAAAATCGTAACGCATGCAAATATCTACTTCAGTGCAGCTTTGGCCAAAGCTCAGGATGCGAAAATCTCCAGGAAGAGGATATACTGAATGGGAATTATTTAGTATTAGTTTTGAAAGTTGAAACGAATAGGAATAGTGATTGAAGAGGAAGTCACAAATGTGATGTTTTTGTTGCAATATGAGTGGGAAACATCTCAAAACTTTTTTTTAGTGTCCTTGAGCATTTGTAGCTCTAGATGTGTAACTTAAATATGCCAGGAATGCACAATAATCTTTTTTTCATGTAAGGTGCCTCATTGGCTAAACCTAGAGCTAAGATTTATTTCCTCCCCACTTGTCTTCCCTGTTTTTATATTTATTTTTATATATTTAATGAACAGGAATAAGAAGACAGCCACTTACCTAAGCAAGGAGAATGTGCAAGACTTCTTAATGAAGTTTGACAACATCCTCTGTGACTGTGATGGTGAGATGTTCGATTCCTTCTCAATTAAAACGTTATTCCAGCATAATCAATAGGGAATGCTAGATTGGGCATGCACATTCAGTCCTTGACTGTTAAGGTATTTTTCTGTCCATGGCTTGGTTTATGAAATTGGTGGTGGTTTTATAAATGCATGACCTGATTTTCGATTTTAAATTTATTGTTCCAAAACTCATGTGCTATCTCTTATGGTGAGCAAACAGGTAGTGAATAGGTTACCCCAAGTCATGCTTTTGCCTATCCATTGCCTTTGCAGGAGTGCTGATCCGAGGATCTCAACCAATAAGTGGATCTGCAGAGGCTATTTCATTGTTGAAGAGTGCCAACAAGAAGATATTTTTCATCACAAATAGCTGCTCTAGAACCCGAACAGAACTTCAAGCAAAATTGAAGGATTTTGGGATTCATGTGCAAAAAGTATGCCAACTCACTTGGGAATTGGGAGGAATTCTCTTGGCAATAACTTGCAAGCACTCGTTGTTGAGACATTGATTAGATTGAATAGTCAGTGAATGATCTGAACCAATTGGCTTGGATGATATCACATCCTTTCAGGAAGAGATATACAACACTGCGTACTTGGCAGCTCAGTACCTGAAGTCTCGGAAGTTCACAAAGAAGGCTTACGTAATTGGGCAGAAGGCACTTCAATCTGAGCTTGAAGAGGCAGGAATAGCCAGCTTTGGTTATGGAGTGAGCACACCAATCTTTGAACTTTATCCCTAGAGTAATTAGGTTACATTTCAACTCAACCTTTTTTTTCTCATTTTCCAAGCCCGATCCATTGCCAGAGGAAGTTCAAGTTTTTGACCTTCCAAATCTTGTTCACATGGACCCTGAAGTTGGAGCAGTGATTGTTGCTTTCGATCCTCATGTTAGCTACATCAAGTTCCTCAAGGCCATCTCATATGTCAATAATCCCACAGTGATGTTCTTGGTCACCTGTCATGATGAAACTTGGCCAACAAAATTTGAAATTGTCCTTCCAGGTCAGCTATGCTTCTCAGTTGAGATAGCAGTTGCTTCTTGCATACAAAGGACTTGAGGGATTTCTATCAATGTAACTCATTGGGAAGTCAAATCTTGCAATGGGCCTACCAATTAAATAATTGAATGTGGAACTGAAAGGACCTCAGCAAACTCGTGTATCATTTTAAGGAACCGATTGCATGGTGGCCTCAGTTGAAGCTGTGAGCAAGCGGAAAGGAGAAGTCCTGGGGAAGCCCAATCCCAATGTGTTCTATTCAGTTCAAGCAGATCAGGGCATAGAAGCATCAAGAACTCTTGTTATTGGAGACAAGTCAGAATCCATTGTTTTAATCTAAGCTATAATTAGTCTTACACACATAGGCATATAGTCTATCTGTCTCAACTAGAGGGTTGGCATAGCCTGAGGTCAAATGTATTGGTAGGTTGAAAGCATTGGTAATACAGTCTGTTTCACTTGAGTCAATTTTTCACTTTACTCAGACACCCAAGCAAGAGGAAAATTCCATGCACAAGTATCTAAGTCAAGTGAAAAATTCTGCATGCACTCAGGTTGCAGAGGAACCCACCCCCAACTTGTTGCAGCTGATATTTATGTAATGTAATTTCATCTGCCTGAGATTATCCATATTAACAACTTTTCCACCAAGACTGGATCTTGTAGGCCTAAAATATAGGTCCAGCTATAAATTTAAAAAGTGAAAAATTTTGAGCCAACTATGCAACATCAAATCCTCTCCTTGAAATATGGGGAGTTAGTGCATGATATATGAAAACCTTGGAGAAAAAAATGCAAAATTTGCAGATATTTCCTTAATGGTACAAAAGTAAGATATTTTGCATCAAACTACCCAAATTTGGTTATTTTAGTGCAATTTTGGGTTTTTGTCAAAATGGAAGTAATTTTCAAAAAAGAAAAACTGCAACTTGTATAATTTGTTAAACCTTTTGACAAAGATGTGAGATGAATATATGAGACAACTAATGCATGACATCATTGTATTTCATGTCTGAAATAAAAAAATATTTCAGACATGAAATACAATGATGAAAAAATTAAGATTGTGATGAAATAAGGCAAAAGGTCACTCAACTATGGTTCTGACCCTACATTTTCAATATGCTGCCAGTTGGTAACAAATATACATTTGAAAGGTTTTGGTGTTCTTCCCAATTGGGAACATCAAAGATGTTGCAGAAATTCCCCATTTGCCATATAGTGAGTCTTCAAGCAGTTTTATATAAGTTATTCTGGTATGCTCCATATCTGGCACACATTGCGGTAATGGGTTAACTAAGCTAAAAAAAACCTTATTGAAACTAAAGTTGCAGTTAACTAAATTAAATTCTGCCATCATATTGCATTACCAGACAAAATATTTCACTCCAAAAATAATTTTGTATGACTCTCCAACCCTATCATAAAGTGGAAAAAGAGGCAATAAAAGACCCATTTAAAGTTATGGGAAGCTGAGGTCCTCACAGCACTTCAGTTGGGGCAATTAGTTTATTCTGTGTGAAAGGGCTGTTACTAAAGTTTGGTATTGCCTGCTTCTAGAGGGGACTCTGACATAGCTCTAGGGAAACGGTGTGGTGCTCACACATTGCTGGTCCTCACTGGTGAGACATCTGAGACAGCACTGCATTCCTGGGAAAAACAATGTGAAGATCCAACGTTCCAGGATATCATTCCAGATTACTACATTGAATCCCTGGCTGCTCTTCACAACCTCTTGAGTGATTGAGCTGTCATGATGAATGTTGCAAGGAAGCTTCAGCCACTCAAAGCTCTTTCTCCTGAGAAAACTTCTGTAGAAAGTAATTCATCTGGTGAGTATAAGATGGCACTGAAATCAACTGCACCTCTTTGCTTCTCCCCATATTACAAAGTACTTTTTTCTTAAAGGTTTGTTGCTTGGTGTTCTGTGTTTCTTATTGAACTTCGTTTTTCAAAAGCAGGTAAGATATATCATTGAATTCTATTCCTCTTCCAAATGCCTGAGCATAATCATGAGTGCCTTTATCAGAGTTCTGAGTCAGAGTATCGAGAGCTCCCAAATTGCTTTGGGAGCTCTGCAGTGCATCATGGCAGTACCCTATTACAGAAAAGTGCTTGTTGACCATTCACCTTTCAAGAGAATTATGATCATATGCTCCACTGGCAATGTTAAGCTCTCTCTAGCATCTGTGTTTTTGGTCTACAACATGCATCTGCCTGCAAGAATGTCTGCATGTCTTCAAACTCAGACTAGCACATAGTGTGCTGGAAGGAACATGCCCTCTTCTTTGTCACTCCTCTTGTTGCCAGAGTCCCAGTAGAGCTTTCTCTGATGTTATGGCCTCATTTACCTCTGCACCAGATAATTAAGTGAAAAATACTAAGGAGTCAGGGTGGAAGATATACAAGCAAGTATGCAAACTTGCAAGACACTGGGAAGGATTGTCATGATTAGAGAAAGTGAGCTTTAACAAATTCACAAAACATCACCATCAGAGTAACTATTGTTAGATTGGATTAAAGCAACACATCCTAAAATAATGAGATGACCCAAGGCTTCAGAGGATTTGGAAGACATTTTAATATTTACCATCGAGGTGAAGAGGTGTTAAGTTCTTCACTGTCATTCATGATTAGTTGTAAGGTGCTTGTAGAGTATAGGCCAAAATTGTAAAATATTCATAGCTGTGCATCAGTCCTTGTTTGGAGGATAGAGAATCCATTAAATGATGAACTGTGAAATATTGTATCCTCATCTGTATTCCCATTGAACGTTGTCATGTTTTGCATTTTGTAGGATGAAAGTTGTAGAGAGAAGGTGCTGGAGGAAGCTTGTGCATCCCTGCAAAGGGGTTCAAGATTCTATGTCTCTCATGTTTATGGTTATTAATGGATTGATGTGTTATAGAAATAAAAAATCCCTATATTGGAAGTCATTTAATGCCATTTGCAACTTTTGAGGACTCTACATGGAATTTTTTCTGCTTGTCTTTCAGTCATGTTTTTCATCCTAAACATTAGAGATTTGACTATAAGAGACCTGATGTTGCCCTGCATCAAATTATTGTATGCAGCAATCTCTTGAGAGACTGCAAATAGGGCATCATATATCATTATCTTTATCAGATTAAAGTTCTGAATGCATTAAAACCTCATTTGTGTTGACTGGATATTTTGAGGAAAATCAGTATAGGGTAAAATGGCAAAACCTGAACACCTGAAGGTAGAGTCAAACATGCACACCTTAAGGTCAAGTTGAATACACATTATGGCTGTCATCTTGACCTTATGGTTTGTGCATTCAACTGAACCTTCAGGTGTTTGGGTTTTGCCATTTCGCCCTATAATTCTCAGTATGAATATAGTGTCTTGGGACAGGTGAGTGGCTCAGTTGGTAATGAACTTCGCTTCCATGGCAGCAGACTAGTTTTCAAGCCCAACCAAGTCCAGCATTTATTTCTGAGCACAAACCCCAGCAGGCTTGGGTAGGGAGACCCATGAACATGAAGCACTCACACCTCAATATGTGGGACATTAAAGATCCCTGATTATGAGGGCTGAACCTGGGTAACATATCCCCAGAGTAACCTCATAGGCCAAATTGAGTCTCCCAGAATTACACATGTTAGCTGACACTTCAGGTGAGAGAGTTTAGATGGGAAGGTGGGTTAATTGGTGTTCCAGAGTCGGGGTGCAGTTATGGGCCTAAAGCCTCTTGCACTCAGTACCTTGGATTTGGCTTATTAATGACAGCCAAGCATAATCACATGACATAGTAACTGAGTATTGTTACCACAGCTTGCACAAAGATAAATATCAATAAAATAAATTAGGAGATTTTAAAGGATTCAGAATCTTCTCATCCTTTCCAAATAAGCTGAATGAAATCACATCAAATTTTAATACAGACTCTAGTCAGCAATAGTCTTGAGGGCAACCTTCTAATTACAATTATTTTCCCTCTCTATTTCCAAGCCATGGTCTATCATGCATTCATAATCTCAACCACTTTTGTAGATAAGGATGACTTCTCTGACAGACTTCTTGCAATACTCGCTTCTTCCTGATGGATTTTTGTTGTTCTTGACTTTTTATAAGTTTCTATACCATTCTAGTGTCAAACCCATGTTATGTTTGGCTTTTGGGGAAAAGAACACTGGAAGTACCTGCCTAATATTGCACCAACAAGAGGCAGGATACTTACCAAAGCAAAGGAAACATTACATTTGACTAATGCCAGATGACTCTACTAGGTTCACACTGTGATGATCCATTTACCCAGCATTTTTATCTTAAGATTATTGTAGCATGAAACACACATCATGTAGGTAAATGAAAGAAAAAATGTGTGTCATTTCCATGTAAATCTCTGATACCTCATTCATTCTATGCAGGATGTACTGTAATGTTATTTGGGAAGATAGGTGACATTACCATTTGGTGTATTCTATTGTGATGGCCTCCCATTGTAACAATTCTTTTCTTTATTACTCTATGAGGGTGAGGTTTGCAATTGGCAATATATCCATCAGAAAGTAATCCTATTGTATTGTGCCTGGATTTCTTTTTTTTTTTACATTCACAGGTAACAGACTTTACAATAGTCTTGAGATGTCTTCCAAGATTGAACTATTGTTGCAGAAGTTCAAACGTGCCAGGGAGGGTGGGCTTGGTCATATGGAGAATGCTTCAACATATCTTGAAGCAGTCCACTCTGTTTGGCAGGAACCACTCAGTTTCAATTCTCACTCCAAAGACCCCTGCAACAAGTCCTCTGAAAAAGCCTTGACACTTCCAAGGGAGGTCTGGAATCATCAGAAGATGGACAAAATGCTGCTTGAAAATGGTAAATCTATTTTATCTGTACAAGATGTAGATATATAGTGCTGCTTCAAAATTTTGTTCCCTCTTGGTTTACAGATTCAATGCATCTTCTTTGTATTAGGAGCTGATGAAATGTTGACCAAACTGCCTCACAGGATGAATGTTGCTGGAAGTGGTACTGTAGAGGAGGCAAAAAATGAAGAAATTGAGGATCTTAAGGCTCATATGGAAGCTCTGAACAATGTACTTCATGATCAGGAGATGGAAAAAGAAAGATTAAGCAAGGATCTCAGAGAATGTAAAGCTCAGTGGAAGGAATATCTATCCTGGTTAGTTCTCTCCCCTTTTATGGCACTTGATTAAAATTAAAAGTTAATTAAGAAAGTTGTTGAAGTTATTATTAAAGTTAAGATCTTATTGAAGTTAATACAGTGGCGTAGGGAAGGGGGGGGTTTAGGGGGTTAGAACCCCCCCCTTGGGCTTCCCAGTCAGTGACACTGACAGGCATATTTCAACTTTCCTTGGGAAGTCCAATTTTAACTATACCCCTTCGAGGAAAGTCTGTCAGTCCACAGACCCAAGATGCAAGACCATGATTTCTTTGAAATGGTAAATTCCAGGTAGTGGAGCTAGGCGTAGGGTTGGGTGTCTACCTGGCCTCAACCCCCCCTTGCCAATTTCCTGCCTATGCCACTGAGTTAATATATTTAATCCTCAGGCATGGGGAACTGACGGAGAGGTTTGATGATTGTGAAAAACAACAGCTGCAAAGCAAGGCTTTATTGAACCAGCAGGATGTCCTGGTGAGGGATCTTGAACTCCTTGCCAGAAATAATAGCAATCATCTTCTGCAGCTAAGGAAGCTACTAGAGGAGTGGGAGAAGTTATCTTTGGAATCTCACCAGGCATGTAAGTATAGCTGTTATCTTGATTGAATCTCATGTTTTTGTTCCTACATAAGTGGCCCTGTTATTGCTTCAGGCACTCAGGTGGATTTTGCTCAGTTGTTTGACTCCCTCATGGAAATTTGTCTAGGCGTGATTTATTACCTTGCTACATCCAGCATTTCCTTTCTTGGGCCCAAGTCAATGTACAGGGTTGGCCAAAAGTCCTGTGACATTGTTTAAATTGCAGATTAACAGTTGCAGTCATTGATGACTGTTGCATGCAATTATTTGCCAGCAAACAGAGCCCAGGTTAGGTGATTGATTGGTAGCAACAGGAACCTAGATCCAGTATCAAAATGTTGAAGGACTTGGTCAGGCCACTCTGGTGGTTGCATACCATACTTGTAGTGAGGAAAGGAGGACAGCCAAATCCAATGGGATTTTGCTTAATAATGCCCCATGATGAAACCAGTGCCAATTTATAGAGCACCTCAAGTAGTGCATAAGTGTCAGTGGTCACACCCTGATAAAAGGTTACCCTGACTCACTAGAGGGTGAAAAAATCAGGCAATATAGTATGGCTGATTTCAACACATGAGATGTCTATACCTACCAAAATAGACTTGTAGAATTGAATGTTGACAGTCATTATTAGCCATATAACAAACCATTGTCATCACTGCCCAAAAATCAACCACTGGCCATCAAAGCTGTGTCCTACTATGCAGAGCATCGTCTGACTCATGGTCATGGATACCTCTAGTGGCTATTAGCACTATAAATTCTCAGTGAGCTTCATACAGTAAAATATACAAAGCTCATCTGAAAAATATGGGGTGGAACAGAACCATTTTCTACTCCTCTGCAGCTTGGTATGAAAGGGACTTGAAAAAAACCTGCTGAAGTTGACATTTCTTAATCCAAATGGAACTGTTTGTGAATATGTGAGACCAACACTAGCATGATGAATAGTTTCCAAGGACAAGGATGGGATTTCAATAGTTCTTGAAATAAATATTTGTGGTTTTCCATGTATTGGAGCACATGGGCAAGGTTTTTCAAGAGAATTTCTGAAGATTTCTGATTCCCCTGGCTTTCCTTGTGCATCAGAGCCTCCTCTCCAGTTTTTATCATAGCCATATGGTTTTCTGTTTCATTCAAGTCAGGTGAGTTTCCCAGTAAGTTGTCATTCCCCCAGAAGTCTATTCCATTTGCCCTCAGTTTTGCCTGAGTCACATGGCTTTTCTTGCAAGGAGCTTTATCGTGGAAGAAAGTCGTGAATCCTTAATCAAGCATATTTCCCTCATCTTGCAGGAAGGGTATGACATGCTGAGCCAATTTTATATGCCTGAAATGCTGCCCATCCCTTGTTTTCCAACACCATTTGAATACCACCTGGAATGATTTCAGGACTATCGCTTTTCTGATATTGGGAACTAAGCTCTCTCAGCTTCTTGCTGTTCCAAGTGCAAGCCATTTTGATTTTTTAATTTGAAAATTATCAGAAACATTTTAAAACTAGTCAGGGTCTCACAACATACACATCATGACTTAACAGTAAAAATGCTGTTGGCTCCAGGGGGGAAATAAAGGTTTTGTCCCACCCAGCCATTCAGCACCATAGAGGATGGAATTATGGAAGAATTGACTTCCTTCCATTTTCAAGCTCTTGTTTGAACAGATGATGCAAAAGTACTGAAATGAGTGTCAATTACAAGCCCTGATTTTAATCTCACATGAGTACATATATACTTACGCATTTCTCAGCACTATTTCTCTTGTTTTGCAGTGCACAAGGAAAAGAAAGATCATGCTTCAACTCTGGCAAGTAAGGCTGAAATGGAAAAGCTACTTAATCAAGTCCTTGAAGAAAAAGAGTCATTGGCTGAAGCTCACAAGGAACTTGTGAAACACCATGAACAAGTACGTGATTGTTCTTGAAGCTGTGACATATATACAGAGTGGACTAAAAAAAAAAAGCTATAATTTTTGGTGAGTTGTCAATCTGATTTTAGACTGCCAATTCTGATTAAATTTGGTAGGCACATAGAATGACTCAACTAGGACTTGTGTGCTGAGTTTAAAATCAAAATTCCAAAAATGGTGAGATTGGCATTCAATTTACTTTTCATCATAAAAAAAGTAAGTGTTCATTTTTTATTTCAACATAAAATTTTGCTCAACTGACAAAAACAAACAAGCAAACAAATAGAATAAAAACAATGTGCAAATGCCAAAAACGAAAGCACACAATTTGGTTTAGGTAGGTTAATTTCAATGAAAAGGTGCTCAATGTGCCCTCCATTCTGCTGAACGCAAGCCTCTTGTCTGGGACACCACATATCAATGGCTTGGTCAATAAAGCTTTAAGACAGTGCCTCCCAATCTTCCTCTATAGCTTCATGCAGGGATGGAACATCATGAATTTGGTCCTCCCTTTCATTCCAGCCTCAAGTTCATACTGATATATTCAACAGCACATTTTCTCGTGGGTCATCAGAAAATAATTACAGCTCCTATAATTTTAGAGCCAGAAGGCTGGAATTTGGCATAAAAACTCCAATTGAGTCACCCTATAAGCCTACCAAATTCAATCAGAATCAACTGCCTACAATGAGATTGACAACTCACCAAAAATGACAGCTTTGTTTTTTTGCCCACTCTGTATATTTAGATTGCTGTAGTGTATGGATTAAACAATGAACCATGTAAAATCTCAAAGGCATTGCTGGAATGGGAACACATTCAAAGTGCTTTGCAAATAAAAGAGGAATCCCTGGTAATGGCAGAGGAAGAGAAGCAACAGCTGAAAGAGCAGGTATCCCTAGGACTGCAGGAAATTGAAGATGTGCACAAGAAACTCTCTGAAATTGTTAAGGAGAAGCAGGTCTTGGTGGATGAACTACTGTAAGTCTACTGATACCTGATATCCACCAACATTATCGTATATTTGTTCCTAATAGGTTCTCTTGCAGATGGCATTTATGGTAGCCCCAGAGCTTATGGGCAGTATTTGATGAACTCCATGGAAGGAGATAGATAATGCAAAATTTACATGTATTATAGGATGTCTGAAAACCTGCTGAAAAAAGGGGAATCCTTGAGACAGCAGCTTGAAGACAGCCAAGCTGAGCTGGAAGATAACTTCAATGAAGTATGTTGACTTTATATTAATCCTGAAGATATTTACAGTTGCTATTTAGTTCCTATAGAGCCCACTGTGAATTTCTTTGTTTGTACCTTGTTACTTCTCTTGCTCACTCATTTGCAGAAGGAGAGGGAGAATCAGCAACTGAAGAAGAGAATTGAGGAATTGGAGGCCAGTGTAAAGAACTTGCAGCATGATCTTAATGTTGAGTCCAAGAAGAAGAGAAAGGCTCAGATGATGATAGATGATTTGGAGATGCAGCTGACTGATACCCTGAACCAAAGAAATGCCCTTCAGGAGGGATTGAACCAGGAGGAACTTTTTACCAAAGAAATGAAGATTGAGTTTCTTGTTGCCAAAGCAGAACTAACAAAAACCAAGGAACTTCTGAAACAGAAGAACAAGAAGAAACAAACCACAAAGAGGAAATTTCCTTCTCAGGTATGCTTAGATTCCATAATTGGCCTCACATTCTCCCCTTGCTCTCACCCCCTCATTCCTTCCTCAAAGGTCCTTGAAAAATCATCAGCCCATGCCAAACATTTCCATGAGCATGCAGAGCCACCAATGGTTTTCCAGTCTTCCCATCACTCTGTCACGGCTTCCAATAAAAACATCCCAGCTTCAGTAAGTTTGCAAATGCATTTTTTTTACCCTGACCGATTCTTATAACTGAATTTAATATCTTCCATTTCAAAGGGAGACATTAGCCATCCTGGGATGGAGGACAGAGCAAGGTAACATTGATGTTTCAGAAATTTTTTTCAAAAACCTTTCAAGACCATAACTTGAGTTTTTTTTTTTAAAGGGAATTCCTTCATGAACCAACGAGAGCTGTACCACTTCATCTCTCACAGCCTTTGAAAAAAAGATGCTTGTTCTCTTCACTGAATCCCATGATGATTAAAAGTCTAACCTGAACACAAAGTAACTGAAAACATAAGGTAAGACGTATCAAAAGATGTATCAAAATCTGGTTTCCTCATTGAAACTGCCTGCACTCATGTTAGAGTGGGCCAAAGTGATGCACCTGGCAAGAAGCAGGGATTAGATTGGTTATACACTGCAAATTTGAATCCCTGATTGAGATTTTTTTTAACCCAGACAGAAATCTTTCTTTTTTTAATATGGAATTTCATGTACAGAAAAGCATGAGGGTCACATGAAGATACTTCTCATAATAAAGTGACTTCTTTTTTTTTTTTACAGGCACAGTCATATTTTCAAAGGGCTACTAAGAAGTTAGTAGCTACTAAGTCTCTGCTATCTCTATTCGTGACTAAGATGGTATTTTCAAAGAGATACTAAGCGTTAGTAGCAACTAAATAGTTCCTAATTGTAATACAATTTTACTAAGTGTTGGAGGGTTGTTTAACAGGTTGACCGGGCACACTGGTGCGCCTCACTGAATGGGAAAATCAATAGGCCAACATTTCTGTGGTGGTCAACGAGTTAAAAGGCTACTAATTCTCAGTCTGTCAGTTATGGAGGTCTTATGTGTGATTGATGCAGAAGAACGTGAGCCATCACATCAATACAGGATATATTTGTACCATGGGAACCCAATGTATTCTTTAAAAAAATGACAATTCATTGGCAGTGCCCTGATTGAATACACTTGAAGATTTTCCAATGTTCTCTGTCTGCATCCCCATGATCTTTTGTTCCCAGTACTTTTTTCAAGATGTGAAATTTCCATCTTCTTTCCACGTTCTTCTTCTATCATTTCCATTCGATGCTTGTGCTCTCTCTTGCACAAATCCATGTGCAAGAATGCTTCAGGAGCATTCTTCCTGTAGGTAAAAAAACAAAACTGATTTCTTTCTGTACACATAATCAGTGGTAAGATCATCCATGATCATATCATCAAACAGGTTCACTGGATTGTCAGATTTATGTGGCAGGGTATCCACCATTGCTGAGTATCCTCTGATGGGGGTTCAGATGGAGACCCACCAGTGGTTTTCTTGCATTCTTTCCTGTACTTCGAAACCTTTTCCTTTGCATCACCTTTCATTCATCGCCATTGCACCTTGTGTGGCAATTCAAGTCTCTCTTCCAGCCATGATGAAATCTTTGCACAGCTTTCTCCAAACCATCATTTTCCCTGCATTGGCTTGAATGTCTATTTTCTATGGCAGAAAAGGCCTCAATGCACAAAGACGAAAAGTGTTCCTTCTCTTCAACACACCAGTTTTACCATCTTGGACATTTAATGATACTCATAATTATCCCATTATTCCCTAACTGCAAGGAGATGAATGGTTGACCATGGTGCAAGGTGTCATAAAGGAAAAACATGCCTTTTTGACGTATCTATCTGAACCTTGAAATGTGTCATACTTATTCTGGTATTCAATCGATTAGCATACATTGAATTGGACATACCAAAAAACTACTCTGAAAAGATACCATTCTTCACCGTGGAGGCTGACGTTTGACATTTTTGCTTGCAGTGTTGCCAAATCTATTCCTATCCCAAATGCTATAAAGTTAGTAGCTCCTAACAAGTCAGAAGTTAGTGGGTCTTTGAAAATACCATTTTTTTTAGTAGCTACTAACTAGTAGCTACTAAACACTAGTCACTACTAAAGTTAGTAGCCCTTTGAAAATATGACCCACGGTGTATTTTTTTTTTAGAAAGCCTAACCTGACTCTCAAATGTTGGCAACCACATGAGGAAGTTCAGCCTTTCTCAACTATATGCCATTGACCACAAGTTTTTTTAATATCACCTGATCAGACACAATTGAGGTTATGGAAGAGAAACATGTGAAAAGAATATAATAAGTGCCTGGATATAAAATAACAAACAAGAAAAATCCAGGTTAGTACTTCTGAAAGTGATACCATCATAATGATCATGCACCATTAGAAGTGTGCTTCCCTTTCCCCAGGGACTGTTCCTTATTACCCCAAGACCTGTTCTCTGGGGGGAAATAAACAGGGTTGGTACATGAAAGCATATCAATATTTCAGCAAGCAAGTTTTAAGGCTTACAGCACAGTTCTGCATCTGCTGCTCATGCTAGGCCAGAAGTTGTTATGTGAGCCGTGGTATTTGACAGGGAGGAGATACAAATATATGTACTAGTGCAAACTTCATATTGGATTTCATTAATTTTTTTTTTTTAGCAATCATTGCATTTGATCATTTGTATCACTAACACTGACTTGGCAAATCCCAGGAGTTTTGCAGATGGAGAACCATAGAAGAATCATAGCAAGACACATGAACATTTGATTTAAAATCTCGGTGTAGTTTTTCACTATAAGCTGTATTTCCTTATTTTTTTTTTTTTTTTTTTTTTTTTTTTTTACCCTTGGCCTCCCCTATACTCAGGAAGCTCACACAGATCTGGACCAAACAGCAGCTTCAATCAAGTGACCTATTCTGCATTGAGACCACTCCTATTATAAACCCCATTACTTGTTTCTTCATCCCCTTTCTGACTGAAAGCATTGCCCACTTAAAATCCCTTCTATGTGGATATGAAAAAATGCTGAGACACACAACATCTTTCAAGGAATCAGCCCCTTAAGTTTCGAATCTCTATTCCCCCCTGTTGCTGACAAGTTTGAGTCTGATTTTTTGCTGGTAGCACTGTCATTCCTTTCATTCTTCCAGTCCTCTTTTTTCCTGCCTCATCTCCATTCTTATTTACAGTTAATATGTTAAATTTAAAAATTTTTGAATTACTGTCATTTCAGTGAACATGTTATTGCTGCTGCATAAGGAGGTGGGAAGGTACTGAAGGTTGGTATGCATATTATCTCTGGAAAAGTTTTGAATGCTCCTCAGTCACCTTATACTAGTCTGTCTGTTTTTCTTTTCTAAGTTTTCACAGCAGAAGGTGGTTTTCAGGCATAATAAGGGCAAGACACTTGAACAAAAGAAAATTGATTTGAATAGAAATGCTGAAGATGAGACAAGATCTGATGAATTTCTACTGGATGGAACTAATGTCCATATTATTTCCCTTGAATGAGAAGATTGTATCTTCTGGCTATGCAAGGGAAGAAGCTAGGTCAAAACCTATTACTTCCTCAAGCATCCTGCTATTCTACATTCCCTGTCTCTAATGAAATTAGTGTGAGCAGGAAGTCTGCATCCTTTTGTATGGCTGAAATATATTATAGCACAGAAGACTTTTCTCATCACAACTTACATGTGGTCCAGATTGTTCAAAACAAATGTCCACTCTTAATGCACATTTGATGTCACTACTCTGATTGATAAAAATGTTCTTCCCACTATCTGATTTTCTTCCATTCTGCTTTGTTCCCAGAGAGCCCTCTCAAAGGAGTCTTGTGCTGCTTGAAAATGTTGCATCTATCACAAACACACTATTCAAATATAGTTTAATTCAAAAGCATGTTGACCACTATGGTGCCCTGCATCAATTTGCTGCAGCAATCTTTTTGAAGATTGTCAAAGGGTCTCACATGTCATTAGCTCTACTAAATAGTCCCACTAAATAATGGGATCAGCATAATTTTTCACATAATATCATATGATCTATTTTGAGTTTAGCAAATTATAAAGAATTCACAGACGCTTGACAGTGCAGATACAGGAATCAATCTAGTGCCAAACTGCACAATTGAAAGTAGCTGCTGAAAAACATGGAAAAAATAAGATCTTTCTGAGCTCAGAACTTATATTCTGACTGGTTAGCAGGGATACTGTCACCAGTGCATCAGAAGTCAAATGGTTTATGCATATAAATATGCTAGCATAAAAGTTACTCATGTAAAAGATTGTCTCCATTGACAACCTAGGTCCATTAGAGTACCTCTATAAAATAGGGTTCACCCCTATTTTCATGTGAGCATGCAAAAACACTGGCTCATGCTCTCCCATTTAAAACATTTTTTTAAGTAAACTCTACAGGGTGACCCAAAATAAATGCAAAAAATAAAAATAAGGACATTTTCCCTTCTACTAATTGATTGAAACAAAACTTTACACAAACATCTTTGTAAAAAAAAAAGTAAAAATGTTCAATGTATCCTCATGTTGCTTTGATACAAGATTGAAAGAGCTTTAAAAAAAATGTCCACAATGTTTCAGAGCATATTGTCATTGCCCAGGCAGCCAGTTAGGATCTCTTGAGCAATTCCACATTTTTGTGGAGTTTAGTGTAGAGTTTTTGCCTTTGCCTGAAAAATACTGTAAACAGAAAATTCCAATTGGTTGAGATCCAGTGAATAAGGCAGCCATTCAAATATTGGCAGGTTTGCACAGCACCAATTTTGAGTGGATTTTGCCTTGTGAGTTCTGCTGAAAAGCTCAATCTTCTTGAGCGAAATGCCCATTAGCCCATGGAAGAACCACATTCTCAAGAATGACCAAGTGCATCCAACATCACCATTCAATGGAATAATTAATACTGCTTGGAATCCTAATTTTGCCCTGCTAGTAACAAGCATTATTATGACAACTTTTTTTACTAGTATCATATTTTTTACTATAATAGATTGTTATGGCTTGTGGCTATTTTTTATATGCAGTGATGATTTGTGGTTAAGCCCATGATTGCTCTTTTATGATTGATGAAAAGTTTGCATTTACAGGGTGACCCATTTGAAAGGTTTACCAATGCACAGCACGTAATGTACAAGTCTTGTAATAACACAAACCAATGAAAGGAAGAAGCTGAAATTTGGCATGTAAACTACTTGAGCATGGGTTGATGCAATGGAATATAAACCACATTGGTCAACATAAAAGCCTATATTTTGATAAGAATTTAAACATATGTTGGATAATTTTGCTCATTTACTCATATTTGAAAATCATATCAATCAGGAACATAATCATGTATGCAGGAGCCTATCCCTCAAATCAGATTATTTTTGCTTGAAGAACATGAACTTTGCTCAGATATGTTTAATGCATATATGTGCCTTTCATGGATCATATGCTTTAACCATATATTCTCTCATATAGCTTCATTTATCAATTTATGGATATATATACAGGGTGTTCATATTTAAATGCACCATAGGAACCTTTTTGCCACTTGTTTGTGGAGTTCAGAGTGTGTCTTATAGCTCACCCGGTTGCATATCTGGAAGGATGAAACCTATCTCTGGTATGTTTCCTTGTAGATATGCAACTTGGTGAGGCTTATAGCGTTCATTGGACTCCACCTACAGGCAGCAAAATATGCCCTATGTTGTGTATAAATACAAACACCCTGTATATATATATGGTACAGATAGCTGCATATAACTGTCATGTATATGATCTTCCTTTATGGGAAGAAGCAAGTTTGAATATTCGAGGTTGCTGGATATTGCCATTTTGTTATGCCTATGTGATTGTTGAGTGGATGCACAATTTTTCATGGAGGTATTTCATCCCATGCATGATATAAGTGATAAATGAGATAATTGCCTTCTCTTGGATCCCTTTTTCTACTGTTATAGATAAGAAACTTAACAAGACCTCCACATGCCTTCCAAATTTGAGCTTTTATTGGAACAATTTAAACGTGTTAGGGAGAGTAGCTCCATTCATATGAAGACACATTCAACATCTCTTGGATCAGTTCTATCAGTTCAGGAGGAGCCATGCAGTCCCATGTCTCCAACCATGCCTGGCAGCAAGTCCTCTAGAAAAGCCATGGCACTGCCAAAAGATCTTAGGAATCAGGAAACATTTCAGGTGCTGCTGGAAGAAGGAGGTAAATCTTTCTTATGGATATTTTTTGTTTGATGCTGAGCATTATTTCCAGTTTTGCTTAAATTAATGCTTCAAATTAATTCATCTTCCTATTAGGAGCTGATAAAATGAAGGCATCTACCATTCAACAGCTCCATATGATAAATGACACCTGGAATGACATTATAAAAACAAAAGATAAAGAAATCAAAGCCCTCAAAGCTCCTCTGGAAGCTCTAAACAAGACCATCTGTGATCATCAAATGGACAAAGAGAAATTGAGCAAGGATCTCATGTTATGTGAAGCTCATTTGAAGGCATATCAGCCCTGGTTTGTTTTTCTCTCTTCTCATTGTGAGACTCAAGCTGACTTTGTGAAGTTAATTGGATTTTTTTCTCAGGCATGGGGAACTGTCAGGAAGGCTTGATGAATCTGAGAAGCAGCAAATGCAATGCAAGGCTTTCTTAAAGCAGCAAGATATTATACTTAAGGAAATTCAACTTCTTGCTAAGAATATTGGCAATTGTCTGCAGCTGAAGACAGTGCTGGAGGAATGGGAGAAGTTACTCTTTGAGTCTCGGAGGGCATGTGTGTATTGCCTTCTTCCTGCTACATTATTGTTTTTGCACTTTCAGACCATAAAATATTGAAGTGTATATGCTAGGCTTGATTTCGAATATCCTTTGATCCCCTTGTACTCTGAGCAGCTGCATGAGCAGCTTTTGAAAGTGTGAATGTTGCAAAAAGTTACTTATCTCAAGTAGCAATCAAAAGCCTTAATTTAGCTGATTTTACAGCATTCCTTGAAGGTGGAATTGGGTTTTCTGCAAATATGTGGAATGTTGACCATCATTCAAAGATTCACTGTTAAAAGTGATTTATTTAAGATGTACTTGGAGGGTAATTTTAAAATGAGTCCATTCTGAAAAGCAGGATTTTTTTGGGAGAGGTGTGTGCATGTATTAGACATGGGAAAAAAAGGGTAAATATACAAAAAAGAGTAAAGGGTAAATATATATATAAAATAAATCCTTCCATGGTGACTGACGGTATTGGAGGTATGAGGGGGGATGAACCACATCCCAGACCTCATACTCGCCTAATTCTGAAGGACACGGTGGAGTATGCTGGCCATACCCAAGATTGCTGTACGCTGGAGGATATCGAGTGATATATCACACTCCAGCTTCCTGACATGTCCTTTGAGGTCTTCAGGATGACACCAGTTGTGCCATGGTGATCAGAACGATGGTGGTCTTCATTCCACACAACTGTTCTACTTCCACTTTCAGTTCAGGGTATTTCTCCAGTTTCTTCCTAGTCTTTTCTTGGAGGTTGTTATCAGCTGGGATGCTCACATCTACGAGGAGAGTGGTCTTCTCCTCCTTATAAATTGTGAGGTCCAGCCTATCACAGACTATGGTGTGGTCCATAATTATGGGCATGTCCCAGAGTACCTTGGTGGAGGAGTTTTCCACTACAGATTGTGGCTGGTGTTTGTACCATTTCTCTGGGACATCCAAGCCGGCTTGCTTGCAGACACACCAGTGCACATATTTGCCAACCTGGTCGTGCCTGTGCAAGTACTCCCTTGGGTCTAGTTCGGGGCAGGCACTGAGGAGGTGGTGAACCGTTTCTGGTGGACCATGACAGCATCTGCAGCGGTCTCCCACATCCAGCTTCAGGATGTGCTACTCATAGTTACGAGTTCTGATGCACTGGTCCTGAATGGCTACCTACAACGAGAGACAGAGCCGTAAGTCGTCGGGGAAGAAGTCGGTCAATATCGACTTCAGACTCAACTAGCTACCAAATAGGTACTAGAACCCTACGACCGGCACTTCGCTAAAGAGGAAGGTAACAGCCTCTCTTTGTGTTTGGTCTACCGTCTTCACATCCGTCGTGTCGTAGTCATCATCGAGATGGAGTGCGTTGATCTCTATGACCACAACAGCATATGTATGTATGTATGAAGCAGGATAATACTAGGCTCAGGATAATACTAATAGTATTATCCTGAGCTACATACAGTCCAGCAGTCCTGAATATTCACAATTTGCTAATATGCCATCAGAGTGTCTGACTTTAGGCATGTAAGTGCTATCCCGCCATTTAAGTGTTGCTTCAGAAGAGAATCACCTGGTGTATAATTCATGATATCATGTATGTTCATTACTTTTTTTTACATCCCTTTTCATTCCAAAGAAAGCATGAAAGTTATTAATGCTCTTGTAGAATTAGGTTTGGCAGAATATTGCTGCAAAGTTTAGAGATCAGACCAATTGAATATGTCTTTGCATTCAAGTATGGTAAGTTCACATGCCTCCAGTTTCAGTTTTCTTCCATGTGGGTCATACCATACAAACTCTACCAATATTAACATATAATGGTGCCTAACCATTTTGGGCATTTGATGGAAATTTTAAACAATTGCAGTTGATCTAATTACCCTGTAAAAAAAAAAGAAAAAAATAATCAGCTCCATTGGATCTGCTGTTAGCAAGAGATCATTCCTCTCCCTCTCCCCCACAAACTTTAGGGAAAAATAGAAAAACCCCTGGAGGCAAATTTTCCTTCTCTGGAACTATTCATTGTACAGAAACGTCTGATAGAACCAGAGCTCTTTGGTAGGTGAACTATTCATTCCATACAACTTTAAAGTTTGAATGACAATCCAGGATAGTATTTGACTGAGATGGTGAAAATTTTTCCATTTTGACCCCCTCTTATCCTTATGTGGCAATAAAAAAATACAGATTTTTCACTATAGTAAGTTACTCTCCTCTTTCATGTGCATTGATATATAAAGTTATTTGTTTGACCTGTGAACAGTTCCTGAGATGGAAAATTTGTCCTCCATGGGTTTACTATTTTCCCCCAAAGTTCAAGGGGCAATGTCTATATTCCATGCTAACTGCAGACCCAAAGAGGCTGATTCTTTTTTTTTACAGGCTTGTTAGATTGACTTTGATCATTGGTAATTTTTATAGGGAAATCTGAGATTGTCAAATGCATTGTGTGGTTGAGTTAGTATGGAATGATCCATATCATTATAGTTCATATGACCATGCATAATAAATTAATTAGCAACTCAAAAAAAATGGCTTTACGTGATATGTAGAACTAATAAAATAACCCAAAACTGCCATATTGCACATTTTCAAATTTGAATATCTCAAAGTTTCAATCTTGTACTGGCAGAGTTGGTTTGCCATTTTATATAGTTATCCATCCACTATTGGCAAAGTAAGCATACTGTAGAATTTGATGACATGGGTCCATAATCTAGCTTCATAACCTTGCAACCTCATGATCCCATACAATTTTCAGTAGAGGCATGATGCATTGTCAAAAATAGAAATGGAATGAATGTATATGAATTTAGTTCTTTATTTGCACATTCAATTAAAATGTCAATGAAAATTCAAATGGTTGATCTCATGAGGGAAATTTGAGTCAATTTTGCTGAAGGGTGTTACTAAATTCCAGTTGCATGAATATGGTGAATAAGGTGAGAAAATCCAAAAATAGCTACTATTGGATTGATTGAGGTGAAGTAGAAGGAACTCTCTTTACTGGCAATATGGTATCTTCAAGAAGAAAGCAGGGGCAATTTAGCCCAGGCTGCTTTCTTCTGGAAGATACCATATTGCTTCTTGAAGATACCATCACTTTCTTCTTAAAAATGATATTTTCAGCAATCTTACTTGTTTTCATTATCTTGTAAAGTCATTTTCCAAAGGAACTGCCAAGAAATTATATGATGAAGAAATGATAATGATATGTGAACAGGCACTTTGGATCTGGAAGAAAACTGAAACTGAAAGCATGAAAACTTTCCATATTTTAATGCAGACATATGCAATTAGTCTGACCCCTGAACTTAATGGCAATATTCTGCAGAACCTAATTTCACCTAGGCAGTAATAATTTACATATCTTCTTTGGGATGAAGAGGATGCTTCTATTTAAAAAATCATGAATGCCCATGACTTAATGCCTTGCACCTGTGGTGAAATTTGACCATTTTCTCAAATAGCAACTCAAAGCAGTGTCAAAGTACATGTAAGATGTATTTTAGTATAAGAAGAGATAGATGGTATCCATAGAGCTGTGAAAAGGAAAGATTTTGAGTTTTAAAAAATTTTGAGCACTTCTTATCATCTTGATCATGAACCAGCACAGTGGTATGGAAGGGACCACATCACACTCCAATTCCAGAATCACCAACGTGAAAATGTTCTCATTTTGAGTTGAGCCAGAACTGGAAACCAGAAGTCAATCACTGATAACACGAATAATCTTTTATGGTGTCCTAAAATGATCATTTGCAACTAAAGACCTTTTATAGGAATAAAGCCTACAATGTCATCCTGAATTATTATTCCCTTCTATTAACTTCACCTAGTTCTCCTGCATGGCAAAGGAAGTGCACTTTGGTGACTGGCATTGTAGCAACAATATATAGACTTATAGAGAAGTTATGTTGTTCAATGGAACAATTGGAGAACAATCTCCTTCAAAATTTTCTTGCAAACATGAAATTTTCTTAGAAGTCAGCATTAGAGCTCCTGAACCACAGGAAAGTTTGTTTCTTCCTGGTGATAACTCTTACTTCAGCAAATAAACACTCTAGGCAAAAGAATACTAATATGAATCCCTTTCCTATTATTGATACTTGGCTATGGTCATTTTTGCATTAAGTGCTTGAGTACTTATTAATATTGTGATTTTCATGGTGCACAGTGGAAGCAGAAAAGAAGGATTATGGCTCAACTCTGGCAAAGAAGGCTGAGGTGGAAAGTCTAATGGAGCAACTCCTCACTGAGAAAGAGTCCTTAGCTGTAGCTAACAAGGAGCTTATGAAGAACCATGAACAGGTATGAGATTAATCTCTGTTCTGGCTGTTACTTCTATTTCAGATTACCATTGGTATGTAGCAGTGCCAATGAACTTCATGACATCTTAAAGGCATTGTTGGACATGGAACACACTTGCAGTTTATTGCAAGAGAAAGAGGTATCCCTGGTTGTGGCAGAAGAAGAGAAGCAGAAGTTGAAGCAGCAGATGTCCTTGGGACTGCAGGAAATTAAAGATGTGCAGGAGAAGCTCTCAGATATCTTGAAGGAGAATCAGAATTTGGCAGATGAGCTTCTGTAAGTTTGCCTGTCATATTTTCCTTAATGCAAGTATAAATTGATATGTTCTGGGAAATGATGGAAATCACTTTCACATGAGCACCCTCATACAGCTGTTGATGATGGATATTTCACCATATAAGTTCTTGTCATGTAATGTTTTGAATGAATATGTCCATAGATGCACCTAGTTTCCAAAGTGTTGGGAGGCAGAGAATTGAATTTTTTTTCCTCCCCTTCTCCACTCTTTATATACTCCAATCTATACCACTTTAAAAAAATGGGATGGTGATATTTCAACTGGAAAAGTTCACCATAAGTCTGCCACTAAATGATGTACAGGTATATGCCTGGAGCAGTGTCCATATGCTTTCATTATACACTTTCTGACAATGAGGTAGGAGTGTACTAATGTGTATACTAATGTGAGTGTACTAATTTCATCTATTGCACCAGGTTAAGCACAAGGTCTTTTTACCTGAGGACTGAACAATTATTTAAAAGTCCTCTTTATTTTGCACCAAGAAAGTTTGCACTCACTCCCAACAAGCTGAAAGCAAAGGTAAAGGTAGAGGCTACTGTTTACTGCAGGTGAGTCTCTGAGGCATGGGTCATCACAGGGAAGATAATGAATGTAGCAATGACTGGTTGATGACATGAGTGGTGTCTCAGGTGATTACCATAGGGTGGAGATGATCTGAGAAAATTTTCTAACAACCAGGAAGAAAAAAACCATTGGGGAAGAAGAAAAAATAATTTAACAAATTCTTGGAAGGCATAACCAACCTATTGCCCCTCCACTTTCATACCTAAGATGGTGCAGCGGTCCTTCCTCTGGTTAGTGTGCTTATGTACATGCCCATTTGTCTGTCCTTTCTGTACACAGGAAGGCTGAAAGTGCATTGGAGGAGAAAGAGGTATCTCTGAAGGAACAATTTGAACAGACAATGATACAGTTGACAGATGAAATCTATAAAGTATGTTGACTTCATATTTTATCCTGAAAAACATGTGACAGAAGTGATTTCATCTTTTTTTTCCTGTAAATGATGTGCTTTCTGGATTTTTTCATTGTTTTGAGAGTTACAGTATGACCTACTTCTGTTCAATTTGCAGCAGGAACATCAGAATCAAGAAATGGACAAGAACATCAAGGAACTTGAAACAAGGTTGACAGACATGGAGCATCGTCTCAATTGTCAGTCCAAGAAAAAAAGAATGGTTCAGAAGAAGCTACATGAGTTGGATGTGCAGTTGATTGATGTCCAGAATCAAAGGGATGCCCTTGAGCAACAACTCAATCAGGAGAAGATATATGGTGGAAGAATGAATGTCCTTTATGATATCACCAAGAAAGAACTTGAAAAGACCAGGGAACTCCTGAACCAGACAAGCTTGAAGCGAAAATACTCATCACAGGTGTCCCTAGAGTCTTTACTTGACATAAATACGAGGACCTATCAAAAAGTTCCAGGACTGCACATTACTGCTAACCTAGTCAAAAAATTTAGGTTTTTGTGTGATTACCTTCAAAATACACTCCTTGACTCTCAATACACTTCTCTCAACACTAAAGAGAGACTTGAAGACCTCCTGGAACTCATTCTTTTCAGCCTCCTTCAGTGCCTTGGTTGCAGCTGACTGGAGGACATCAGTATCCTTGAAACTGCAACCTTTCAGGAGATTCTTCATCCTTGGGAATAACATGAAATCACAAGGTGCAAGGTCTGGGGAGTAAGGAGGATGTGGAAGCAGTATTATTCTGTGACTGGCAAGGAATTCCCTGATGAGTATTGATGTGTGACTTGGTGCATTGTTGTGCTGGAGGATCTACATGCACTGTCTGTAGCGTTCTGGACATTTGCATCTGACAGCAGTGATGAGCCACGAGTGAATGTCTCTGTAGAAGGCAACATTGACAGTTTTTTCCTGAGGAATAAACTCATGGTGGACAAATACCCCAATAGTTTGGCAGAGCACTGGGAGTGGGTTCATTGCAGCTTGGGAATGGCTAGCCACTCAGTTTGTTATCTTCAATTGATTTGTGGCCTTCGTGAATTCATTTGCAAACACAAGATTTGCTCAAGGCATCTTCTCTTTAGGCTGCTGTTAACAACTGTCAGGCTTCTGTGGCAGATTTTCCAGCCTTTGCATATCATTTGAAAACTGCATGTTCAAATTGTGGCATTGTAGTGAATGACAAGGGTCCACTGCAGCAAATGATTGAAAACATCAGGGTTGCTAAGGCAAGCCATTTCTTGTCAAGCTTGTGAAGCTCACTTCCCAAGGTCATCTTCTTAGTATACTAGCAGCCACAAGCCCTATGCTATTACCATTTATAATCACAAGAGTTGGTCCTGGAACTTTTTGATGTTTCCTTGCATTTGTTCCTCAGCCCCTCTTTTCTACCATTCCTTTTCTTTACCCTTGATCCCTGAAAATTTCTTGACCCTTACTAAACAGCACCATGAGCATGTTGGGCTCCCAAAGATGATGTTTCTACAGCAAGAGTCTGCTGCAGCCTTCAATGAAAACATGCAGGTACAGAAAACTAGATGAAGCCCCCTTTTTTAGCAAGGTTGTGATTTCATCATCATGGTGGCTGTGATTTCTTCATTTTTGTGCTACAGGAAGAAGTGTGTTCTCCTGGGATTAAGGTGAATCACATTAAAACTGATTCTGTAAGTAGTGTATTTTGTCTGCATCATTCTAGATGTAGGCCTCTGTGAGGCATTGCACTTAAATAGATTTCAGTAAATCTTTAAAAAATTTATTTTTCAATGCAAGATTTTTATGATGTAAATGAAGTAATGAAAAATTGAGGAAACATGGGAATTTTTAGGAATTAAATTTTCCTTTCTTACTGACCTTTAACTAATGCCCACAGCTCTTGACATCTCTCATGTTGATTGTTGCAGCAGTCTGGACATTTCTGCCAGAAGAGCTGCTTGGCCAGCTTCTCCTTTTGCACCCAGTTTTTTTTTTTGACATTGAGAACACTGCTGGTTGCCTGGAATTTCACTATCAAATCTGAAATGTAGATAATCAACAGTCTTGGTCTAATTTGGTACCTTTCATGGTAATCATGCTAGTTTGCTGTAAACTGTCATATGTTTTTGCATAAATCATCACCAACTTCTCTCGATTTTTGGTTTAATAATACACCATTGTTACATTAATTCACAACCCTCAGTCAAAAATCACTTCCAAATGTCATCCATCAGAATATGGCAAAATTGTGCAAACTCAAGCATGGAGGTCACCAACATGAACAGCAATGGAAATGATACATTATCACTATAATTGCCACACTTATTCCAAGTGGGTAACAGTCATTCATTTCCAGCCAATTTCAGTAGACATGGCAGGAGCACTCTCCACTGGCCTTTGAGTATTGTATACTAAATTGATGAAAAAGGTATGGAAATGTGCTGCCATCAAGCAGTCACTTTGAAAATTAAATTTCCCCAAACTTCCTATGTTCCCTCACTTTTGCCTCACCCTGTATATGTGTGTACCAGTGGATAGTCATTGCATGGAAGCTTTTATGCATCTTATTTCCATTTGAACTCATCCAAGACCATTTTTTTCCCCCCAATAATTTCTACAGGATGATGCTGTCTTCAAACGCAGGAAAGTAAATATAATTGGAGATAAGGAACATAAAGGGAGTGATGCGATTCATGCTGGAATGGAGTCAGCTCACAAGAAAGTTGATCCTGTAAGCTCTGCATCATTTTCATTTGAGATTGGTGGGTGCCTGAATCCTAGGAAACCCCACATTATGGCCATTTTCTTGTATTACTTAATAATTTATTGCATTGGCCTGAAGAAACTTCAAGGACAACAAACTCATTCAAACACTGAAAGCTGGAGACAGAAGCTACAGTCATATACAGGGTGATTCAAAATTATGTATAAACACTTTGAGTTGTATCTTTAAAATGTTATTGCTTAAACAGAAACCAAAAATATTTCTACATGCATTAGATATGTGGAAATGTGATGCACAGAAAATGTTAGGTCAGATGTTCAAAATGTCCACCACTGGCACACATACACGAACAGCATCATTTCTTAACAGCCCAACATATAGTGGCTTACATGTCAGCTGTGATTTTACGTGATTTCTGTTTTATCATGTCCCACAAATTCTGCACTGTTTCAGGTTTATAGCGGTACACCTTGTCTTTGAGGTATCCCAGCACAAAGAAATCTAGAGGGCTGAGATCTGGAGACCATGGGGGTATTCATGGGTGCTCCCCTGGCGACCTATCCACCTTTCAGGAAATTCAGTATCTAGATAGGCACAGACATTTATGTGAAAGTATGGTGGTGCACCATCCTGCTGAAAGTACACCACTGTGTCTGGAAACATGTTTCTTATCACAGAAACTGCTTCATTCATTAACAATTCAAGATAACTTTGCCCAGTAACAGTACCACTGAATCTGTAAGGACAGATTATCCCACTAGAGGAGATTCCCATCCACACAGTAATCCCTGGCCTGGCCCTCCACAGTGAAAACCCAAACATACAGAAAGATGTTAACTTGCCAGTGGTGGACATTTTGAACATCTGACCAAACTTTTTCTGTGCATCACATTTCCACATATCTAATGCATGTAAAACTATTTTTGGTTTGTGTTTAATCAATAAACTTTACAGAAAGATGTTAACTTGCCAGTGGTGGACATTTTGAACATCTGACCCAACTTTTTCTGTGCATCACATTTCCACATATCTAATGCATGTAAAACTATTTTTGGTTTGTGTTTAATCAATAAACTTTTAGAGATACAACAACTCAAAGTGTTTATACATAATTCTGAATCACCCTATATGTGACTTGCAGCTGTCTGCACAAAACCCATGCTCCTGTGACCTTCACTGGTGGGCAGTGCTGGTTATATTATGGCTGCACAAGTTTATTACTAGCAGGTTTGGAAAACTAGATGGGTCAATGTCCATTGGTTGGTTAAGGCAGTGCGCTTCCTCTGTAGGCCCATGATAGCCTTTGAGAGATCTAAGTACAAGTATAAGCCCAGTGTCATATTTAATGCAGAGACCACTCCATATGATGAATGGAAACAGCTTATATTAACTTGGAAGTATGTGAGGAGGAGGAGGTTCATGACTTAGTGATTCCTCTCCCCATGTTTTCTCCTCTTCAGCCACAACTAAATACAACAGGTGCCACTTATTGTTATCACTGGTTAATAGTATCAGCCATTTATTGCTCTCTTTTACGTTTTTGGTTTTGGTTTAGGGTACAATCGGTATTATAAAAGAAACCTATTATCATAGTTAAGGTGGTCGATGACAATAGTTTTAAAAGAAGGGTTAAGTATTTATATCAGGATAATTCTTGCAGCATGTTGTCAGATAGGTCATCTTGGTGAGTCATCCTCAAATTTTTTTAATGTCAGTCAACAAAGATTCAGATCAGGCTACATCATCAGAGCACACAGTCAATGATATTATTGAGAACATGAAGATAAAAAAAGGAGAGGTAGAAGATGAAGATTCTGATGATGAAGATACAGATTCAGATAAATACAGGGTCTTGCATAACCTTTGATACAGATAAATACAGGGTCTTGCATAACCTTTTGCTAGGGGGGTACAACAATTATGGAGTATAAAAAATATGAGTGTTATACATATCTTAAAAACTAATTTTATTCTGATTTCATATTTGTCATTGAAAATTATCATCGTTGGNTATCTAATGCATGTAAAACTATTTTTGGTTTGTGTTTAATCAATAAACTTTTAGAGATACAACAACTCAAAGTGTTTATACATAATTCTGAATCACCCTATATGTGACTTGCAGCTGTCTGCACAAAACCCATGCTCCTGTGACCTTCACTGGTGGGCAGTGCTGGTTATATTATGGCTGCACAAGTTTATTACTAGCAGGTTTGGAAAACTAGATGGGTCAATGTCCATTGGTTGGTTAAGGCAGTGTGCTTCCTCTGTAGGCCCATGATAGCCTTTGAGAGATCTAAGTACAAGTATAAGCCCAGTGTCATATTTAATGCAGAGACCACTCCATATGATGAATGGAAACAGCTTATATTAACTTGGAAGTATGTGAGGAGGAGGAGGTTCATGACTTAGTGATTCCTCTCCCCATGTTTTCTCCTCTTCAGCCACAACTAAATACAACAGGTGCCACTTATTGTTATCACTGGTTAATAGTATCAGCCATTTATTGCTCTCAAAATGCAAAAACCAAAACCAAATCCCATGTTAGCCATAATATTTTCTTTGGATAATAGTATCAATTCCACCAGCTACTGTTATCAAAATTTTCTTCCCAATTCATAAATATAGTCCTATTAAGAACGAGCATGTTGTCAGATAGGTCATCTTGGTGAGTCATCCTCAAATTTTTTTAATGTCAGTCAACAAAGATTCAGATCAGGCTACATCATCAGAGCACACGGTCAATGATATTATTGAGAACATGAAGATAAAAAAAGGAGAGGTAGAAGATGAAGATTCTGATGATGAAGTTGCCAAAGAATGAACTGTTCCTATGTCAAATGAAACTCAAGCTGCACTTCAGACTGTAAGAAGAGTTCTGGAACTTCATGGACTGGGAGTGACTGCAAACTTCTTTTTTTTATGAACTTGAGTCTAGCATGGAAGGAATGGTCAGTAAAGATCTGAAACAATAAAAACTTGATAACTTTTTTCAAAATTCTCAGTAATTAGACAACTTGGCCCTGTGTCATTTGTTGCATTGTCGTTTATTGTTCAATATTTGCCTTTTTTATTACAGCTAAAACAGCTGTTTTTCCTGTAAGAAAAAGTATCAAATATGAAATATATAGAAATAAACCACTAGTGCTATATTTTTGTATTTTTGTATAGACTTTTTAAAATGAATAATTAAACTGTTGTATCCTTTCATGTTTTATTCCTTACTTTGTTCATCTTAAGGTGGAGGGGGTAGTCATTGGCATTTGCTGCATATTGTTATCAGCCAGTTAATTAAAACAGGTTTGTCATTTAGATAGTGATTAGTTTATATAGTTTTTAACTAGTCATAAAACCTAATTACATGCATGTAATCAGGGTTGAAGATTAGATAAGCACTCATTATACAAGCTCATATTCCATATATGGTAGTCATTTGATCAGTCATAGTAATCGATCCACAGCTTTACTTGGTTTCACTTATTCTGCTGATTTTGTCAGCAACTCCCACTCATCTGTGTCTGAGTTTGAGTGTGAGCCTGTGAGTATGTGTGTGAGTATGAAGGGAATGGTGGTGGTGAATATTGTAATCTAAGGGTGTCTTGTATCAGACATCTAAAAATTGTATGCATGCCACTGCTATGGATGAATTTATATCTCATGTCATAAAGGTGTGAAGGGCTCAATGTAACGTGTAATGTAATGAGGTGTCATTTGGTTTGAATTATTTATTACCTATCTCATTTGGGTAAACAGTGAACTTCTTGCATTCCAGTCAAGTACTGAGAGAACATGCAATAAGTCTTTTTCAGAACAAATATTTTCACAGATAAATCTAGATACAGATAAATACAGAGTCTTGCATAACCTTTTGCTAGGGGGGTACAACAATTATGGAGTATAAAAAATATGAGTGTTATACATATCTTAAAAACTAATTTTATTCTGATTTCATATTTGTCATTGAAAATTATCATCGTTGGGGTGGTTGGTGATGACTAAAGGCAACGTGTGATGGACCGCATTCGAGCATATGCCTATCAAGAAGCAAGGGAAGCAGGTGCAACCTTTATCAATTGAAAGTGAATATCTCTCCACTGAACCACAGTGAGAGATTGAGTTAATGACAATTGGAACAAAGAATACAAATCTTGTTTTACAAAATTTTATGGCAGCAGGCTGGAAAAATTGTCTGAAGTGAGAAAAAACATCGTGATGGAGAGCAGTGGGAAAAGACAAAGAAAAAAAGCTGCAGTCAAGTTGCAAAAAATCATTTCAAAGTGGTGTGGAAAGCTATTCAGACAACGATACCGTATCAATAAAGGCTTTAAGGAAAAAATAGAAAGTATGATGATTAGTGAGCTTGGTTCTGACTGAAATTCTGAAGCAGTTGTCCCACAAAACCTCCAAAATGTTATTCATTAAATGGAAAATGAAACATAACTTTTTGAAAATTTGTTGAAACTATGCTCTCAACATTTGAGGGCTGTACATGAAGCCAATGATGGTCACACAAAATACTGATGCATTACTGTAGTCAGGTTGAATAAAGGTTTAAATTGATACATAAGTTACAATTGTTCTATTTGTACATAAGGTTGTACCCCCCTAGCAAAAGGTTATGCAAGACCCTGTACATGCCATTTCTCATTTCTGGCCCTGAAGGTGAATAACACAGAATTTCATATCCATCTGAGCTTCTGAGCTGACATAATGAAGCTATCTTTCCTTCCATGATTCTCATAGGAAGAGTTGACCTTCAAGGACGGGGAAGACAAGATACAAGTTGATTTTAGCCCAACATCCAAAATATCTGGAGATGGAGATCCTCAGGGTTGAACTCCTTGATTGGTTGAGTCACCCGTTGGTGACTTCATATTACAGATGGTTCATCTTTGATTTTCCACTCTTTATTCTGCTTTTCATTTTCTTAAGTTAGGTGAGAGCATTTTTAATAAGTAGTCCAGATGCCACAAGTCTGTTTAGGCTTATGTCCCCTGTTAGTTCAAGTGAAAAGTGTGCAAATCATACACTTGACATAGAAGCATTCTCTGATTCTGGTTTTCAGTTCTCTTAAGTCACCCAGTTGAGAGAACTTTTTGCCAATAGCAAGTAATAGCTCATTCCTAAACAGACCTGTTTAGGAATGAGCTTCATGACAATATCCAGGACATGTGTTTAATCATTAGTTTCATCTGTAGTCCATTGATTCCTGCTTTTGTTCTCTCAGCTTACCCGAGTTGAGAACACTCTTTCTCAGAAGTTGCACAGAGTACAACTGTGTTTAGGCAAATGACTCCTAATTTGTCACATGATATGTTTCATTTATCTGTTTTATCTGAAATGAAGATTCATAATATTTGGCATTCCAAATAAATCTGGATTAGTTCCTTCTTACATTGTACTCTTTCTTGTCTTCTATGAACAGTAATTCTTTCTTCTCTTCATTCTTCTGCAATCAATTGTGTAACAGCAAGGAAAACTCAGAATTGACTAATTCACAGGAGAGCCATTTCTTCAAAATACTCTTCGATAAGTCAATTTTAGGATCTTAGTCCCTATTAGTCTAGCTGGATCTAAACTCCTTCCCACCAAATTAGCATGTGAATGCTGAAGGGGAAAGTGTGCAGGTGTGGAATCTTCTGAGACCTGTAAATTTGAAACTTTAAGGGAATTTTTCTGGGAAAGAGGGTTTATAATGTGATATACTAAAATTGCTTTAGCATACTCATGTCTTGTCAAATGAAATTTCACCAAAATATTTCAGGAGCATTTTATTACCAAATATCGCCAAGACCAGAAAATCACTTTTTGCAACCTTTGCTATGGTTTCCCTTGTTTCCATGCAAATACAGGGTGGCAAAAAAAAAAAAACCTGGATCCATGTTTCAGAATTCTTTTCGCTTTCAAGATTGATCAACCGAATTTCTTGAAGACAAACTTCTATCTATTTCTGACTTTCAAACAAAATTTGGCTACATTTGGCTGAATAATTATGGAAAAATAAAATTTTTTTGAAGGACACTTCAAATTTTCACTGCACAGGTTGCAGCACAATGTGTGCTGTTGTCAATGCATCATGGCAGCCAAGCATCAATGCCTTTTTCTGGCCCTGTGGCAAAATTCAACCCCAAATATCTTCTTTTTTTTTAACTAGGAAAATGAGAGCAAGGTTGCATCCAAGAAACAATGAAAGTGTGAACATCATTGAGAAAGGAGCCCATATTGGTATGAATTTCAGGAAATTATGAGTTATCCTAAGGAAAGTAAAATGCAGGGGGGCAAAGGAAATTGTGAAAGTGTTCCCTGATAAATATGGAAGCATCTCCAGTATCAAATTTCTTTTGCAAAAGATTGATCAAACAGGCAGCAGTGATTGCAAGGCTGGGAGTGGCCAACCAAGGTCTGCACAAACCACAAATATTGTGACTGCTGAAGAACTTGTTTTAAGCCAACCCTGATACCCACAAAAGTTTGAGAGAAAGTGCCAGAGAGACAGGACTCGAATGATCCAGTGTTCAGAGGATCATCATAATGGATTTGAAATTAAATGCTAAAAAAAAGAGTCATTGTCCAGGATTTGGCAACCAAAAATAAAGAAAAGAAACATCAGCATTGATGTGGGCTTCTGGAGAAATTCCCAACCCAAAGATCAGTGTGGCAAGTGTGGTTTATGGACAAAAAAAGTTTTTACTGTGGGAACCCCAGTTAATTGACAAAAAAAAACTCCATCTACCAACCTGATTCCTGTTGAAGAAAGTGGGATGTGTTGAAGGAGCATCTTGTGGTCCATTGGGATCACTTTACACAGAAAGTTATGGTTTTGGTGGCAGTGTCAAAGTTGGGAAAGTCTCAATTACGATTCATGGATGGCAAAGCAAAGATTAATACTCATTACTGCTCTGAAGTTCTTTCAGGTGAACTGTTGCCTGACATTCGAGCAGTTTGTGACGGTGATTTTATCCTGCAGGAAGATGGTGCAACTGCTCAATACCCATGCACATTCTTAGAAAATGAGGGAGTTGAGTTCATCCAACCCTCCCTGTGGCCTCCAAAGAGTCCTGATTTGAACTTAGTGGATTACTTTGTCTGGGGCACCATGGAACATGTACTGGGAGAAAATTCACAAGCTTGATCATCTCAAGTCTGTGATTCTTGGTGCCTGGAATTTCATCTCCCAGCAATCAGTAAAATATGCAATTGATCATTGAAAGGGACAGATTCAAAGGTGTTGAAAATAGAGAAGTCTTTGAATATTTGCAATGAAAAAGTGAAAGAAAATAGAGTATGTTGCTTTACTTCTGAGGTCGTTCAGTTCTGAGCAGTGAAAATTCAGAGTACCTTTTGGAAAATTTTAATTTCTCCACAATAATTTGTCTAAACATAGCAAAATTTTGCTTGAAAGTAAAAAATAGATGGAAGTTTGCCTCCAAGAAATTTGGCTGATCAATCTTGAAAAATAAGAAATTCAAAAATTCTGAAAGACAGGGATCAAGGTTTTTTTGGAGTATGTTGTATATTGTTGTGTCAGACTAAATGTAGAACATTCATGAACACTCTTATCCATTTTCTTCAGGAGTAATGCATTTGAAAAGAAACTATGCAGAAAACTATTCCTCTTTACCATTGAAATATCAACAGGCAACATCTTGGCACTGGTGCCATCCCCCTTCTGTAAAGGCAATGAAATTAGCACCTTGGAAGAGTTGAATGGTACTTTTCAACAACAAATCTGAACTATTGTAACTATTCAGAATAAAGATTTTGAGTGTGTCTTGTATTGCCTTCTCCTGCTTTAATGGGTCCACTCATAATTATTGAAGAGCT